CGCCCCCCGCAGGACCGAGCTTATGGCGCGGGGTGCGTCGATCAGGTAGGCAGGCGGGAGGATCGGCGGGAGGGTCGGCGGGTACCCCGGGCCCCGCGCCGCTCCACGTGCGGAGGCAGAAGGGGGTTTGCAGGCCCCAAAGGCGGCCCAAGTGGCTCCTTGGGGTTGCCTTCCTTCTCATTATCCTACAAAATAGACCCCCCCCCCATTTTCCCATCTTTTCTCCATCCTCGCTTACATCAAGCACCGCACAGGACCAACCTTTTGCTCTCCGGTTCTTTTGAACTAAAACTCCCATCCTCCCTGACCATTGCCCTTGCTGGAAGGGGGTGATGGGAGTTGAAGTCCTTCGCATCTGGAGGGCACGTTTGGTGGGACAAGGCAGCCACAATCTCCTCCCTCTTCTAATAGACCAGGGTTCCCCAAAATGGTCAATATCGATGGGCCTATCCATTATTGTCATTATTATTTGTAGTACTATTAGTTAAAGTAGTATTGATTAAATTATTTTTATATAATAAATGTTTGGGGGTCAATGAACAATCTGAAACTTCATTAAGGGGTTGATGAGCTGAAGAGTTTGGGGACCCCTGAAATAGACAGATGGGGGCTAATTATATTATGTGTCATCCACTTCTCTGCTATTTGGAATTTGAGGTTACGGATTGGGGTTCCGGTACAATTTAGCCCAGTTGAGTAAAAGGGATAATCTAATCCTGCAATATTCAAACCATGTTTGTTCCCTGGAACCCCAGGATTCAATGAGAATCATGCAGGGGTTCAACAGGACAGTTTCTGTTTACACTGTATGAAATATATTATTGCAACATTAATGTATTGCAGGATTTATTTTGTTCAAATAAAATTTATTACATGAAATGTATTTAGTAATGGGTTCTGCACTGATTTTTCACCTTGAGAAGGGTCCCTTGGGTATCTCAAGTTTGAAGACCATTGATCTCATCTCATCTCATCTCATCTCATCTCATCTCATCTCATCTCATCTTATCTCATCCTCTTTTAGTCATGTGCTAAATTGTACAGGGACTCAATCTGTAATCACAAACGTGAAAACAACTGGAAGAATTGGGGTGCAAAACTCTATTTGACTGGCAGTAAAAAGAGAGTTGAGGATTACTGTGTTTCTTCACTCCCATCTAGTGATAATAATCACAGATTTTCATAGCTGTGGAAAAACCCATCCTGTATAAGTCCATGATGGACACAATGCCCTCTGTCCAGATTCTTTAATGTACTGTACATATTCCAGGTCTCAAACTTGACACTGAAAACAGATTCTGTGACTGAATTCATGCTAAAATTGGAATTCCAAAAACATTCCATTTCATCTTTGTGCTACAGAACCTTTCCTGGTGCAACCCAAGGAAATATAGTCCTTGATAGCTGCATCCTACCTTGTCTTGTCAAACACCTTGACTTTTTAAAATGTGTTCAGAATTTTAGTTTACTTGAATTAAACAAAGACTCAGTTTTTTTACCCTTAGCTGAACCCCATCTTTTTTCTTTTTGGTCTGGTTACCACCTAGCTTGATTAAGAGTTCTCAAAATTGGATAATTTACACACTATGTGTGACCTTGTGCTGTACTAGCAAAGGTATTTCCCTAATATGAATCTTGGGATTTTTGTTAGGATAAACATCATTCCTCTGTCTTTTTTATAGCTTAGAGATCACTGAACTCAGCGCTGAGACCCTAAAGCTTAGACTCTGTTCTCTGAAGTTCATCTCCACCAGCTACTAATTAAACTGCCCGACATGGCTTCTATTGACATTTTTAAAAACCTAATACAGTATTTAAACTGTGTCCGTGTTTGTTAATAGAAGAACTGAAACACTACTTTGTTGTTTCATTTTCTCCTTACCCAGAAATTGTGCTTTACTTTAAAGAAGCAATTCTAAGTAAAGGTGTTTTGTTCTAATTTTGTGCTTTTGAGTCAGTCTTAATTCCTGGCACCTGCCTGGATAAGTCCCTGCCATTTTCTTGGCAAGATTTCAAAAGTGGTTTGCCACTGCCTTCTTCCTAGGGCTGAGAGAGAGTGACTGGCCCAGAGTCACCCAACTAACTTTGTGTTTAAGACAGGGCTACAACTCTCGGTCTTCTGGTTTTTAACCCAGTGCTTCTAGCCACTATACGAAACTTGCTTGCTCTCTTTTGTTCTAGTACTTCACACACACACACACACAGATATGTGTGTATGTGTTTTCATATACAGAAATGAAGAAAAAAGAGATTAAAAAAACTGAAAAAGGAATCTGAAAAGGACAAAAATATGTATCACACAGCTCAATTTTTAAACACATTATTAAAAATCTTGATCACAGAGTAACGATCAATTTTTTCATTACAGAGATAATGTTTTTGAGCAGAGATCTAGTTGAAAAGCTGAAAATGAAAATATGTCATCAGTCTAAAATTGAAAATTCACAGTGGACTGTCTTTCCATTGTAAAAGAGTAACATTTTTTTGCCCTGTCCCACCTTGATAGATCCTTGGTTCTTCATATGATGATAAAGTCCACATTATTGGTACATAATTAAGAATCACATTCACCCTTTCAACCATATTGTTCTTCCCCAAATCACATTAATATATAAACCAAAAAGATATGGTAGTGGTATAAGCCCATATCATATGTGTAAGTGTCTCCCCCCCCCCCATCATTTTACATTTCCAACACAATGAAGCTGACAAGCAAACTAAAATATACTCTGAGGTATCTAGTAAACAGAAAACAAAAACATTTTCTTGAATTAATCTTACCTTTGACCAGTGATTCATTAATAAGAGGTGGTCTAACTCTTTATTCCAGTTTTTGCAAGTAATTAACATCCATCTTAACAATACTCTTCAGCTGTCTATGAAAAAATATTGTAAATTTGGAATCATCCAAAACCCATTTTAGTGCTTACAGTAACTCGGAAGTTTTAAATGTCGCTAATGCATCGGAACTAACTTGTGAAATCAAAAGATGTTTCGACTGAATATACTGCCACTCTGCAGTTTTTCAAATGATTTAAAAACTTGATTGGTAGTTAGCTGATCTAAAGTATTAATATTCCTATTAGCTCATGAATTCCCCTTCTCCACCCACCCCCGCAAGATTTATCTGCAGTATTCAGACTGGAATAATCCCACAGTGCAAGTTTATCACATGAAGAAGTCAAAATTACTATTCACTTCTGTCTTAAGATCTTTCAGATATGTTTTGCAGCCTTTAATGCTGGAAATAGAGTAGTCTTTTGAGAAAGAAACCCAAGCAGGTTCCTCACAAAATAACTTTATCGTTCAACCCTATGAACAATCCTAGTAGACACTGTATAATGTGACACATTTGATGTCTTATTTGAATGCCTTCAACCACCTCCCAAATTTCATTTTAATATTATTGATTCACTAGACCTATGTAGTTTCAACTAAAGATGCCCTGCCTGTTTTCTTTCTTTACGTAATCCCTGAAGAGTTCTGATGAACCTGAAAAGTTGCACACTATTTCTGAATTGGAATGAACCTAATAATGTAATTTTATTTATTTGATTGATTGATTGATTTTAGCCTATCAGTTTACTTTCAGTGCATTACATTGAGTAATTTGAAGTAAAATATTGACAGTACATTCAGTCAAAAGTCAAAGGTCAAAGATTAAAAACATAAAGTAGCATCACAAAGATATAAGCTCCAACAAAAATGACAAAAATAAATAACTAGGTAGTTGCATGTAAATATCAAAAGCCCTCTTGAACAGTTCAGTTTTTAATAATTTTCTAAAAGCTAATATAGTAAGGGCTTTTCAGTTTGCACAGAGGAGACAATTCCAAAGAACTAGCATAGAGAGACAGTGTTTTCAGGTCTCCATCATCTTATTTCAGAAAAGTGAGGAACGGCTAACAGTTATTATCCTAATAAGGGTTACTACATAATGTTGAACATACTGGATCCCAGTACAGTACTCAGAAGAAGGCAGCTCCCTGTCTAAAAGTGCTAATATGCTTTTACTGCAACCGCATTGTTAATAGTTTTGCTAAGGGATCTTTCAAAGTGATTCTTTGCAGGTGAGTGAAGCGGAGAAAGAGAAGCCATACTCTGGCCCCTTTATAGCTGGATGTATTTATTTGTAAATGGCTTGGTTATTGTTTATTCAGCATTCACGATCCTCCTGAGTAGGAGCAATAGCACATCTGGAATAATAAATCTGAATCTGAATCACATCTGAAAATAAATCCATTTTGCATTCCCCTTTCCCAGTTAGAGCTTTTTTGGTCGTGCATTTGTAACTTCTTTTCTTTTTCTGACAGTGGGATCCGATGATCACCACATTGCCTGGTTTGTACTTGCTGTCGGTTGGAATTCTGAAGCCCGCAGCCTGGCTCTTTGGGTGGCCTGAAAGCCTGGCCTGCTCTACAGGAATCCTCCGGTTCATTAATCTGCTTTTCAGCACTGGGAACTTCTATTTATTATATTTGCTCTTTTGCAGGATACACCATAAAAAGGTAGATGCGATATATTATATTTAAAAAGTGTCACTCTATACCAGTGTTTCTCAACCTCAGCAACTTTAAGATGTGTGGACGTCAACTCCCAGAATTCCCCCCCCCCCCCCCC